CGGGTCAAGTGTCCCCCAGCAGCTGGCCTGGGTGGGGAGCGGACCAGAGCCGGAGAGACGGGGCAGGGCCAGAGCCTCTTCCGTCTTCTGGGACGCTGCTTGCTGCCCGCCCCCTCCCCAGGCGCGTCACTAAAATTTGTTGTTTATGTAGCTTTGTTTGCAAAATCCTAAAGGGGCCGATTCAAGGTGCTGCATGCACCTGCCATAAGTTACAAAGCCAGAAATAAAATGAACCAGCTCGCTAACCCGGGGCTATTTTCTGGGGGGGCCTGTGTGTTCCAGAGCAGACAGCCGCCCGCAACGTCTTCAGCCCACTCCCGTTGCTACCAGAGCTCAAATGCAGGGCCGGATTAACTTTTTCTGGGCCCGGCGCCAAACATATTTGTGGGGCAAGATGCAAGGCGGCGGGATGGTCAGTCTCCAGAGTGAGGGGTGGGCTGGGGGCAATGAGGCACAGCGTGGGGGGAGCAGCCCCGCTCTGCACAGTCCAGCAGGAGGGCCCTGTTTACAAACCTGCAGCTGCCAGACGCACACTGGCCTGCCCAGCCCTGTGCTGTCAGCATCTCCCTTCCCCTTGAGGGTGGGCCCACACCACACCGCCCCCCTTCCCAGTGCCCCACCCTTATGTCCAGCGCCCCCTCACCCAGAGACCTCCACCACAGATCTTTATGCCCAGCCCCCACCCCTCCCAGAAATCTCCCCCACTGGCCTCCCACCACAACTACACAACACCCTGAACACCACACTGCTCGCCCAGTGCCCCCCGCCCATAGACTGCCCCACTGCCCACCACCTTCCTCACAGTCCCACCATCACAGCTGCACAGCGCCCCATAGTCCTGAGGGGATTCTGCACCCCAAAAATTAAAAATTCTGCACATAATATTTTAAAATTCTGCAAATTGTATTTGTCAATAAATAAATGTGGAGGCCCCAACGTGGCAGTGGGGAGCACAGACCTCTGGCTGCATGGAGGTGGGAGATCACCCTGCAGCCTCCCCCCACCCCATTCCACCCTCGGGACAGGGACTCGGCAGTGAGGCTGCACCCAACCCTGACACAGCACAAGGGCCAGGCCTGCCATGGATACACCCTGGGACCCTGCCCCTTTTTGCGCCAGGCGCACCAGGTGTGGGCAGAGCAGCTCAGCCCGGCAGCAGGATCCGAGTGCAGAGGGACTAGGTGTGGGGGGATCCAGGTGGGGGTAGGAGAGTTCTCTGGGGTGCAGTCTGGGTGCAGGTGGCTCAGTGGGGGATCTGGATGCACAGGGAGGTGCCAGGTACAGGGGCAATGGGAGTCTGTAGGGGATGCAGGTGAAGGTGTTTGGGGCTCAGTGGGGAGGGTGTCAGGGGGCTCATT